TCGTTTTCTTTTATCAGGTATCGACCCACCGATGTGTAGCCATTGTGACACTCAAGTCACAATAGCCCACATTTTACTGTCGTGCCATTGTTACGACCGTGAGCGGCAGCACCATTTTAGACACATTTTTTCTAAAAGTTTACCCCTGACGCTGGACAGTGTCATTGGTAATGGTGACACTGTCCGACTAGATTGTATTTTTAATTTTTTACACACTATACGTCTTTTTAATTCTATATAAATCTTTTACCGACATCTATTGATTTTTAACTCGCTGTTTTTTTTTACATTTTACTTTAATCTACCTTCATTGCTTTTACCGGTTGTTTGGCGCAGATAGCCTAGCTGCTTTGCACCATAAAACACCAACCAACCAACCAACTGTTTGTTCTAGGAAGAAAGGGTAATAGACATTGAACTTCAACAAGGTCCATCCTCAACTACTGGTGATGATCTCAGTTTTTCCTGGATAGTGAGTGTAACTGCAACTGGCCAAACATTATGGCAACCTGACACCCCCTTGTAGGGAAAGTTGCATCATAAAAAAGAGAGTAATGCTGATTAAATCCAGGTGGCTGTGTATTTCACCTGGGCTTCTTGACTTCTAATTCAAGCACATAGAATGAACAGAAGAAGAAGAAACATTAATGTGATGTTCACTTTACAGTATCTGTCAGTCTGATCTTATTGGGATTAAAACTGAATTTCTATGCAGTTACTACTTTTATAAAATGTTAATTCCTACCTTGTTAAAAAAAATTGATATAAACTTTATAAAATACAAGTTTATAGACCAGTATATGTTGGAGCAAACTGAAATTTACTATGCATAGTGATAATACAGAAAATAGTAACTTGTAAGTAGTAGAATCACTGAAGGTGTAAAAAATTAATGAACAGCTTATTGCAGATAGAAAGATGAAATTTTACACTAATAGTATAGATAGCATTACTTGAGGATAAAAACAATACTAAACCTTATGCGCATTAAAATTATACAACTACATGCAGATGTCAAGATAA